CAATATTTTATTTAATACATATTACTAATATGCTTGCAAGTGTCCTTTAAAATGTTGGAGTTTTACCTAGTTATCTCTACTGACCTCTGGTGAAAGCTAGGTATATAATATAACTTCTTCAGATTAGATTAGATTCAAGATTATCTAAATTATCTATCTATAAGCAGCAACAGTACAGCAGAAAACGGTTCTAATGACTTTGGTGGTGAATGAACCGACGATTGTCCTTTTGCTCCTGATGGTCATGTGAAAGGGTTGATTTATTTATTTATGGAACTACTGTCATTAATAATAATTATCATAGATTTTTCTGCACATTTTCTTCTTTTCTTCTTTGTAATATGTGCACTGCTGAGTAATCAGAGACCAAAAATATTACACGTCACATGTTAGACATAAATTCACACTCTAGGATTAGAGTACATCGTAGCTCTTCAGTGTTTTTCAGGCAACTGTTATTTTACCTGTTTATATGAGACACCAGGTTTATCATTTTTAGAACTGAACAAAAGTGGACAAAAACTGTTCTTCAAACTTCCATTTTAATAGTGTTGTATTTTTTTATCTGTACTCCTGCATCTTTTTGAAAATACAGGACAAGTTGTATTTATAAATTGACTTATAAATACAAGTTGTCCTGTGTATATGTATATATATAAAAACCCACATGTTTGGGTTTTTGTTTTTGTTTTTGTTTTTGTTTTAGCTACAGTTAAGAGCGCAGGGTATTATATACCCTATTATATTATAGGGTATATTGGCTGAAGTTATCAAAGGGAAATCCGCGACCCCCAGTGGGTCTGGATAGGTACCGCAAGGTCGGATATTTGATAAATCTTTTTTCTTTTCTTTTTTTAAAAGATATTTATTTTAACCTTTTTGTTTTATTTTAGGGCACATTTCAGTCAATGAGCACCGACACCTATTTTATTGCACATGGTGATTAATATTTTGAAACTGTTTTTTTTAAACAAAAATTGAAACAGTTTGCTTACTTTCTGCACACATGTAACCAAAATGATGCACAGCTTCTTATATATTTCTGGTATTGTGAATATCGAAAATATAATTATTTTTCACTACATTTCTGAGTGTGCAGTGATTGGAATAAATTAATCTTGAATTTACTTCTCAGTTGTTTATTATCTCTGACTTTTTTTAGTTGTCCGTGTGTGTGTATGTAAGAAAAAACAGGATCTGTGTGTTAGAGAAGGGTGTGTGTTTAACTGGGTGCGTGTCCTCTCTCTCTCTCTCTCTCTCTCTCTCTAGCTCTCTCTAGCTCTCTACCCTTGTGTTTGTGTGTGTGTGTGTTTTGTGTTAAAAAGATGGAGAGAATGAGGCAGAAGGAGAGAAATGTGTGTGTGTGTGTGTGTGTGTCTGTGTGTGGATGAGTTTTTGTGTGCATGTGGGTGTATGTGTGCCTGAGAGAGACAGAGAGAAGGAGAGAGAGGGCAGGAAAGAGACTGTGTGGTTGTGTGTGTGTGTGTGTGATTGTGTGTGTGTGTAAGAGAGAAAGACAGACAGAGAGAGACAGACAGACAGGGAGGGAGGGGAAAGAGCAAGCAGGAGAGAAAATGTGTGTAGTTTGTGTGTATGAGTGTGTGTGTGTGTGCGTGTGTGTCTAATTGAATGTTTGTGCCTGTTCCTGTGTGTGTTTCAATGTGTGTAACTGGGTGAGAGAAGCAGAGGCAAAGAAGAAACATATGTGTATTTGTGTGTGTATGTGTCAAGTATTGTGTGTTAGAGTTGGAGAGTGAATGAGTGAGCAAGGAGTGAGAGAGTGAGTGTGTGTGTGTGTGAGAGAGAGAGAGAGAGAACCTGAGTGGGGGAGGGGTGGAAAAGAAAGATGTGTGTGTGTGTGTGTGTGTGAGAGAGAGAGAGATCCTGAGTGGGGGAGGGGTGGAAAAGAAAGATGTGTGTGTGTGTGTGTGTGTGTGTGTGACAGAGATAGAAGGGGGAGGGGAGTGTGTGCTGAGAGAGCTAGGAGCAAGCTCTGCAAATGTGTGTGTGTGTGTCTGTGTGTGTGTGCGAATGAGTGTGTGTGTGTAACAGCAACACAATATGTGACTGTGCTGAATGAAAGGGAAATGAATGTGATGTGTGTGTGTGTGAGAGAGTGTGTTTCTGTTCGTTGGTGTGTTGCTGTGCCTGTGTGTGATTGTGTTATGTAAAAAAGGGTGTGTGTCCTTCACTGCAACTGGGCTTGTGTTTGTGTGTGTGTGTCAGTGGTGAATGTAGTGCAGAGTGTTTAATTGTGTCTTTCTGTACTTGTGCACTGCTCACATGTGAATGTTTGTCTCCAGTAAGGGTTGTGTAACTGTGATTACAGATGTGTGTACATATTTACATGTTTTTGTGCAGGTGAACACACACACAGACACACACTCACTCACAGACTTCTTCTATTGGTGCAGGTGACGATGTGTTGATGATGGTGTGCACACACGCCATCAGAGCTGAATTACAATGAAACCAAACTTTTCCACATGCTCCCTCACGTCCTCAGTCGTCCCAGCTCTTCTTCTTCTTCTACTTCTTCTACTTCTTCTACTTCTTCTTCTTCAGTCTTATCTCAGCTGGATATCTTTGATGACTGTAGCTCATCTGTTTGTGTCAGACCCTTGGTTCGCCATCAGTCGGGGGTGTCATACACCACCAACCATTTTGTGATTTGGGTTAGCAAATTGTGACTTGAATGATTGGAATTCCTGTTACCTTTTATGAAAAATTTTTTATAGCCCAAATAATTTGTCAGCATCTTTGTGTATGGCGCCACAAAGTGGAAGCTTTGTCACTGCTTTTTCTTGAAAGCTAGAAATTCACTAATTCACTACTAAGCCCTGGCTCCATCCTACAGTCCTGTGGTAAGAAGTTTGTAAATGTTGTCACTGTGTGGGCACAGGGTTTTTCAGGGACTTCCAGTTTCCTCGTCGCAGTTCAAGGACAAACTTATTTGTTTGTTTTTTGTGGGACGTGTGTATATAGGTGAACCTGTGATCATTGTATGTCATTACCTCGATTGCCTGGAGTCCAGAATGTGTGTCTGTAGTCTCATCTCTGCTAAAACAGGGAACTATTTAGATTAGACATGTGCCCTTTCATGGCAGCCACAGATGAACCACGTACATCATACTGATGATTGGAATCAATAAAAATATAAATTGTTTACAGATTAAATACCTCATATACTCTACTGCTTCTCAAATTGTGGGATGGGCCCTCTGGTGGGGAATGGAGGCACGACAGGTGGGGCGCAACAAATGGACACCAACATTCATTATACAGTATATCATGTTCTTCTTCGTATTTATTCTAGTTTTTCATTCTCCTCTAAGTTCTAAATTTAGACATTTATTCATTTAAGACCTAAAAAAAAACTGTAAACGCTCACAGCAGTAGTTGGAGACCATCTCTGTATCTACTTGTACACATGTAATTCCACAGAAACACAACAATCGGGCTGATACTTTTGACCTTCTCCCTGTAAGGCATCAACACTAACGACCGCTTTGCTTTTTGTCCCCAGATGAGACTGTGAAACGCTTCTGCATTTCTGTATGACATTTACCAGGTCTGTTGATAAAAACATGAAACCAGTGACGATTAGAAGATTGTAAAGATTTTTTGTACAGACATAAACTGTAATGTGATTATTAATAATTAATATGACTGATTTTTTTATATATTCCAATTTTCCCTTCCAGATGTTGAAGGGAGATCAGCTGAAACAATAGAGTAAGTATCAAGCACATGTTGCTCTTTGTTTATGATTATGGTATGGGTTTACTTTCACTTTTAATGGTTTAAAGGGTTAATCAACATAAAATGTAAACCAGCACCAAACATTACTACCATGACGCAGGTTAACAACAACTACCTCGAGTAGTTTTGACCAGGGTGGTACTGTTGATTGAAGACCACAGAGGAGAAGAGGAGGAAGGTGTGTTAGGATGCAGAGAGTGAACAAGAAAGATGGGAGTGTAGAGAAGTACAATCTGGACTTTGAACATACTGACAATGACTGGTAAAGGTGGAGAGCCAATGGAGCAAAGAATGGGAGGTATCTTGGGTGTTCAGGAATAAAGCCCAGGAGCATTGGAGTTGGTCTTGAGCTATTTTACTGTAGAGTGGAAGGAGAATTGAAGAAGAAAAAAATCTTCTTGAAAGAACAGTTTGTAAAAAGTGTTTTGAAAGTGAAAACAGAATTTAAGTAAAGTAAAAAATACAAGCACACAAATATGAGTGAAAGAAGACGCACACTGCCAGTTATGTAGCTGTGCAACAAATAGTCGGATAATTGTGTGTAACGTAGGTAAAAACAACAGGACAGAAAGAGTAAAAGGAGCACAGAGGATACAACAAAAGAAACGTGTTTGAAAAAAAAGGAGGAGTGATACAGCAGGGTTTAGAGTAGAGTTGAGAAATGACAGTTGACATGAAAGCTAGGTGGTGGAAAGCATTCAGGTCAGTGAAGAAAAAGTAGGATAGTCAGGGAGAGAAGACAGGTAGACAGGATGAAGCTGCGAGGAATAGAGAAGGTAAAGTGCACAAAAAAGGTATTAAAACGTGTATGTGGGTATCAGCAGGTTAACAAAGTCAACATCTTATTTTTGTATTTTAAGATGTTTATTTGATGGCACAAACTAACTACAATTTAGACACTTTAGACACTTACATCATTTTTAATGATAATTGGCCTCTAAACAGACACAGACTGGTCATGCTGCTTGATCCCAGACATGACTGAATATCTTAAGGTCAGAGGTTCCTAGTTTTAAAGTAAAAGTTAAAATCATTGTGAATTAGTTTAGGGGGAAAATATATTTTATTTTTCCCCTAAACTAATTCATTTGGTTCACAAAGAGCATCAACACTTTCCTGAAGACATTGTATTCTCCTACAGATCATAGTGTGTGAATACTGAGAAAGGTTACCATACAATAAGATGCTGGCAAATGTCTAGCAACATCTAGAGCCTTTTTAAATAATCCACCTATCAATCACTGTGACAATAGGAAAGTTGAGTGACAAGTATAGCCTCATCATAGTTTGCATATTAATTCTATAACAATCTTTATTAACTACCACCGAGTTGACTTTCTTAATTGTAGTAGGCCACCAATGCTAAAATGAGAATTATTTATCAATCAGTAAAGAAAAAAGTAAAGACGCAAGCTGTGTTGACCTGTTGATACTGTACATAACCCAGATGTGTGTGTAGGCAAAATAAACATTAACATCCCGATTTCTAAACATTATACTGACACATATTTCTTTCTATCTAACTAGCTCAGCACAATGTCTATTTTTTCTTATTTATTCTTTAACTAGGAGCGAAAACGTATGGTGCAAACGGGCTACTTTTTCATATGCTCGGTGGACGCGTCCATTATTTTTTTAAGGGGGAAACCAACAGCTACATTTATTCAACACGAAATCACAGCTGTAAAGTTTCTTTTCAGTCTAGATTTATTTAAAAACACTATTTTAAAAAAACACACAAACAACACTAAACAGGATGACCGACGTGCAGCATAGACCACAACGCGGACTCGGTTACTGCCTGTAGTACTCGGCGCACCCCTGCGCTGAGCACGATGGAAGCTGCTGGAATAACCTTGGTGTGAGCCAGTGGATCCACTGGAGAGGAGAGCGAGAGGCTGAACCGTTCGGCGGTTGAACATCAACGATCGCTTGCCTGAACATGGCGGAGACCGTACGCTCGCTCTTCGACTACCGGGACCCTCACAGGCTGGACAGTGACGGCGAAGGCATCAAACCGACACCGCAACTGCGAGGGTGAGACATTTGATGAACTGTAACGTTGTAGAATCATGGGGAAAGTGGACCACGGTAGCGGTTTCCTCTCAAATGACAGCCAGAGTCGGGGTGGGTGTGTGCGCGCATGAGGCTGTTTTGGATGGAGCTAAAGTTGTAAACAAACGCAGTTTATCGCCTTTGTCGCAAAAAAGTACTGTTGAAAAAAGTTGCGTGAGAAAAATAACATCTTGTCTCGCGCTCTGGTTATTTTACAAATAAATGCTAAATTTCACCTTGTACAAACATCTTAGGAGAGGTGTGTGTACACGCGTGCATGTGCGTCTTCGCGGCAGTGTGCGCGGGCACGCTTGTGAATCTGCTTTTGAATTCCCTCTGTATGGTAATGGAATACTTTTTTTTAATCGCAGAAATATTTAGCATTTACATGGTCTGTATACTTTTGTCTCGAAACGGAGAACTATAAAGCCAATAGTGGAAGCTATGAAAAGTTTTCAGTAAATAACAGTCACAGTGGACATGTGCACTTTCTCAAAGTTAGGAAAATGTCAAAATGATTACACTCTCAGCTTCGGCCTTCTCCCTCAGTGTGTGTTTGTGAGTGTGTTAATGCTTGCTCCTGCTGGTGTGTAGTAAGCGCGCGCGCGTGGTTGTGTGCTAGAAAGACACGAGCACACACACACATGCACGCACACATAAAGCTGCTCCTTTTCTCTCTCACGCTCTGTCTTTCCCTCCCTGTGTGTATTTGTGAAGTTGTGCGTGTGTGAGAGGGAGAGAGAGAGTGTGGGTGAGAGGGGTTGGGGAGGAGTGGTGGTGGAGATGGTGTGTGAGACAGAGGGGGAACGAGCAAGTGTGTGTGTGTGGTGTGTGTGTGTGCTAGAGCAGAAGAAGGAGGAGGGAGTGTGTGTGTGTAAGGGATGGGAGGGGGAGAGAGTGTGTGCGTGACTGAGACAGACACTGTGTGTGTGGTGTGTGTGAGTGAGAGAGAGAGAGAGAGAGAGAAATGAGGAAAAGGAGGGGGAGAAGAGTGTGTAAGCTTGTGACAGTGAACAGAAGAGTGAGTGAGTGTGTGTGTGTGAGAGAGAGAGAGAGGGAGAGACAGGGACAGGGACAGAGAATGGAGGAGAGAGAGAGAGAGAGAGCAATTAGTGTGTGTGTGTGTGTGAGTGAGTGAGTGAGTGTGTGTTGTGAAGAGTGTGTTGCAGAGTATGAAAAATGTATCTCAGTTTCTGTGTTTAGAATCATTGATGTTTCTGTTTGTCAGTCTGTGGAATAGAAGGAGAGGGAGAGAGAGAGAGACAGGGACAGGGACAGAGAATGGAGGAGAGAGAGAGAGAGAGAGCAATTAGTGTGTGTGTGTGTGTGTGTGTGATAAAAGAGTGTTGTATGAAGGTGTGTTTACTGTGTGTCAGGGGAGAAGGAGAGAGAGAGAGTGTGTGAAGGACATGTGTGTACGTGAGAAAAAGCATATAAAAGTGCGTGTGTGTGTGTGGTAGTGTGTGTCAGTGTGGGTGTTTGTGTGTACGTGCGTGACACAGAGATAGAGGGGAAGTGTGTGAGAGGCACAGGGAAGGGGAGGGGAGAGTGTGTTTGCGCATATGTGTGTGTTCGAAGAGTGGGGGAGGGTATGGGTTTGTTTGCCTGGGTGTGTGTGTGTGTGTGTGTGTGTCTGTCTGTGTGTGTGTGTGTCTGTCTGTCTGTCTGTCTGTCTGTGTGTGTGTGTGTGTGTGTGTGTGAAAAAGGGGGAAAGAGGGGTTTGTGTGTGTGTGTGTGTGTCAGTCTGTGTGTCTGTGTGTATGTGTGTGTGAAGACACAAACAGAACTGTGTGTGCATGTTTTGGTGACATGAAAGTACACAATTAATTCCTAAGTTAAGAAGTGATTTAGAGCAAAGAAGAATCCAAGAAAGCAGTGAAGGAAATAGTTTGTGTGTCAGGCTTTAGGAAACAGAGATTGTGTTTCTGTGTGTGTGTGTAAGACACAAACAGAGATGGGGAGGTGGTGTGTGTGTGTGTGTGCGTGTCAGTCAGGTGTGTTTACAGTGTGTATGAGTAAAAGATACACGAAGGAGAGAAGATGAAGGGTGTGTTGGAGAGCTGTGTTTGTGTGTGTCTGCGAGAGAGAGAGGATAAGAAGGGTGGGTTTGTGACTGTGTGTGTGTATGGGTGATTGTGTGTTTTTGTATGCACTTGCATTCACTTGTGTGTGTGCAAGCGTTTGAAACAGAAGGGGAGAGGGTGTGTGTGCGTGTCTGTGTGTGTGTGTGTGTCATGGAAACTGAAAAAGAAGGCTTGGTAGGTAGTGCATATGCTTTGTGTGTGTGTGTGTGTGTTTCAGTATGTGTGTTTATTAAGGAAGAAGCTGTGTGTGTGTTCTATGTATGTGTTTCTTCTGCAGTCAGTAAGAAAGGGAGGGGTGTGTGTCGAGGGGGAGACAGACACAAGGTGTGTGTGTGTGTGTGTGTGAGAGAGTGTGTACGTGTATCTTTGACTTGTGTGGCTCCTAGACAAGGGCAGTGTGTGTCTGTGTGTGTGTCATGCAGAGGGAAGGAGTGTTTATGCATCTACTTTGTTTATGAAAGAGGAAAAATGTGTGTGTGTGTGTGTGTTTCTGTTTGTGTGTGGGTGGAATGGTATATGCAAGGGGGCTTTGGATGTTGTGTGTTTCTATCAGTTTTATTATTGAGGGTTCCGTGTGTGTGTGTGTGTGTGTGTGTGTGTGTGTGTGTGTGTACGTGTCCTTAAGAAGGATGGAGAAGGGTGAAGTGAGTTCCTTTGGCAAGTTTTTACAGTATCTGTGCAGTTGAAATGTATGAGAAGTGAGCAGATGTGTGAAGGTTGAGTGTGTGAATGCTGTATTTTTCTTGACCTTAACTAACATGGAAGTAGAGCGTATATATCTTAGCAGATGTGCACAAGTTTGAGAAGCTGTAATGGGCAGATTCTGTGCGTGCTTGCTTCCCTTTGTTTGTGTATCAGAGGAAAACTGTGTGTGTGTGTGTGTGTGTGTGTGTGTCAGAGATGGAACATGAGACTGTGGGTTTGGTTATTCGAGAGAGAGAGAGAGAGGGAAGGAGAGAGAGACAGAGAGGGAGAGAGTGTGTGCGTGTTTTTGTGAGTGTGTGTGTGTGCTTATGTGAGCTTTAGAGAGAGGGGGAGGGGTGTGTGTGTCCATGTGAGGTTGGCTTGAGAGAGGATGTGTGTGTGTGTGTGTGTGTGTGTGCGTGCCTGTAAGCCTGAAAGGGAGGTGTGTGTGTGTTTGTGTGTTTGTGTGCAAGTGCTTATGTGTGTCTGTAAATGCATGTGAGCCACAGAGGGGAGGAGTTTGTGTGTGTGTGTGTGTGTGTCTTGAGTACAGACTTGTTTGTGTATTTGCGCATGCATGTGGGTTGAGGGAGGGGACTGTGTGTGTGTGTGTGTGTGCTGTAAAAGAGGGAGAGAGAACGAGAGAATCGATCAGAAGGGTGAGACAGACTGTGACAGGAATGGAGGGAGAGATGGAAGGGTCAGGCAGCTCACTGAGGGAGGCGAGACAGATCACATGGAAAAGAAAGTCACAAGTCCCTAAAAAAACTCACTCAGACAAAAACACACTGAAACAACATAAGACCATTCATGCAAAAAATACAAACAAATGTGCTTTTCAGGTGAAGCCTGTTGACCTGTTGACTGGACCAACATTTGATGCTGATGTCATGCATAGGGACACATGGTGTCTAACAGGTTCATCCTGCTGTCATTCTCCAGTCCTGCTGTTTCTGATGCTGTCTCAAAAATTAATTGTGGTTGAAAAGAACTGAGGTGTTGGTTATTGACTAAGGTGAATAGTTTTTCAATGTTCGAATCCTGTCGTGGTTGATGTGCATCATTGTGATCTGATTGGCTGATGCTGTTGGAATATTGAGGCAGCGCAATTCAATTAGATGCTACCCACATCGCCACTGGAAACATTACATTACATTACATCTATTTTGATGTAATGATCAAAAGTATCTAGACCAAGAAACACCCAGAAAATAAAGTATTCAGATACTTTGGCAGATGCATTTTGAGTCAGACGTATTGGACTCAACAGAGTCAACATGCTCCACATTTGTCTCCTTGGGTCTGACCCAGATGGGATTGAAAAAGCATAGGTGTAGCAACGTTAGCAGTGTCACCAAACTCCAGCATCTAGAAGTCTCTTTATCTGCTCCTACCAACATCATAACAATAATCATTAGGATGCAGCACTGTTATTATCCAGTTCAAATTCTTAGCACATTCACTTTAAAGAGTACTGACGATGTCAGGTTCCACATTTTCTTTTCCCATCTTCGTAACTGGAAGTGACCCAATATTGATGGGATGCAGAGACAGCTACTGTTGAGGGGGACATGTCTGTGGACTGCAGCAAGCTAACAAAAATAACGAAACAACGAAATGTGTGTTGCTGAATTTTTTTTTCCTCAGTATTCCATAAATGTTAAGCTGTGCATCTTGGGGTCTTGGGGTCTTGCATTTTACCATTTTTAAAGACGTTTGATTTTTGCTAGTAGAATTCATTCATGTGTTGCAAAGATCTATAGTGTGCAAATGCAGGACTCTCTTAAATACACATTATCACTTGTCTAAATGGGAGTGGAGTGGATCAACACAAAGACAGTGAGTCTGGTTGATATCTCATTTGAATGAGTTTTCTTCTCGCCTGTTTTATTTCTGCCGTCTGTTCTTTTTTTTCCTTTCTCGTCTGTTCACGGCCTGCCATTCTTTCTTTAACCTTTTACTCTCTCATTCTCTCTCTCTCTGTCATACACACACACACACACACAGAGTAATGAACATTTAAAAAATCTTAACGCACAATCTTCCAATGGCCTGGTTTAAAAATCCTCCTATGTCGTGCCAGTAACAAAGCAGACTGAGAGAAAACACTATTTAGATGTGTGGTAACAGAACAGTCCCAGAATCAGGACCAGTTTGGTTCTCCTGAAGCTTAGTGGTTTTGGCATAGACTTGGTCTAGAGAAGATAATCTCACATGGCCGCTCTGAGCTCACACAGGTCGCTGCATCTCGGCTCTGGGGGTAATTGCACAGTGTTAAGTGGCAATCCAGAGGTCAGAGCACTAGACCATGTTAAGGCTAACTAGATCTTAGAATTGTGCTGTGGTCAGTGTGTGGTTTGTATTTTTCATATTTAGCTGGGTTTCTAGTGTGCTCGTGTGTTTACTCCTTGGACTATTCCAATGTAACCTTCACAATTGAATTTTTTTTTACTAATTTCTTTGTTCATTAGGTTTTAAGCCTGAAGCATCAGACCAAACATGTGAGAAAACACCATAGACCAGATGTATTAGATGTAGATTTGGACAATGTGGTCAACTTTATGTTGAGCAATAATATTTATATTTATTAATATTATTGCACCTAAATCAAATTATCATCGTTATCATCATCCAGAAATAATCTTTAGTGAACACGGACTGCATAAATGAGTAGGTTAGGAACTAGGGTAGAAAAAAAAATAGTGTGAATTGTAAAGGGTTTCTGTGTTAGCTGTGGTTTAATTAATATTGGAATCATGGACCACTTATAAGAGCTGGACAATGATGTATCACTACATTTATGGGAAAATTAGGTCAATCATCCTATATTTGTCCGTAAACATGAGCATACAGTTATTTTGATCACAAGTAAGTTCTTGCTTAAAAAAAAAGAGAAGTTTATTCAATCATATAGAAGATGTACAAAAAGTGTAACGGTAAATAGGATTGGTCTGCAGGACTGGAAGTCTGCAGTCCTTGGTGCCTTCAGTGACGTTCGCCATCAACACCACATTATTAACGTTCGGTGACAAATAGATGTTATCGACATTAGCCGCAGCTCATCTAGATATTGAACAGACCTACTGTCAATCACCTGCAACAATCAAGCATTTTCACTCCTTATTTTGTATTTTCCTATAAACTTATTTACTACAACTGACCATTATATTCTAAAGAGGAAGATAAACCATATTTATGTTAGATAATCCATTAGTCATGGGAAATCACTAATCACTTGCTGCATAGTAACACAAGTAACCCTGTTAGCTGGCTAAAGTTACTCTTATCTTGGTGACTAAGGTATAAAGTAGTAAACACAAATACCACAATGCAGCACTATGAAAACTGAATCAAAATTAGAAACATATATTGTGACAAAAGAGGTGTTAACCAACCTCCCAGTATTAAGAATGATCTTGTTGTGGTTTTTCTTAAATATACAACACTTAGTATGTTTAGTGTGGTAGAAGTTGAATTGATCTTTCATAGCTAGCTAACTTCTAACGAGAAGTTTATTTCTTCAGTTACAGCCAAGCCATATGCAGAGCCCTGGTGAGTGAAAAGATTAATAAAATTATGTTTACAGCTCTAATACATAGACAAAATGATTAAAATTTACTTAAAGTTATTTTTATGTCAACACAGGATAGTCATATTTCTCCCAGATCCACATGTGTTTACATCCCTTTATTGATTGTCTGTATGTTTTTGTGTTGACATTTTCATGAAGCCCTTGTACTAACTGATTATTTCGCCTTTCATGTTAACCTTTCATCTGGACCTTTATGTGTTGACTGTAAAAGGCACTTGGTGAATGGAGGATATTGATGGTTGATTCTGTGTAAACACTTGTTTTAGAAGTAAAAATATTTAGATAAATTCAAAAACCAGCTGTAGAGAAGATGTCCATGATGTCCAGTACACCAAACCCTGGCAACATTGTTAACTCGACGTGAGTACTCTTGAGATAAGTTGCAGTGGTAGTTAATAACAACTGAGTGACTTTGCAGGACTTGGACTCATAACAGTCTCAATTCAGTGTCCGTTTTTCTTCTTTAAATCTGTTTGTTTTCATGTGAGGGTATTCTGTATTGATTCAATTTTGTGGTCATCACCTTATTGATTTCTCTCTGACCTGATTGATGTGAAGTTTGGCCAGTAGGCCAATTGATTAAATGATAATCTGTTTGTGTGTGTGTGTGTGTGTTGCTGTGTATGTTTTCTGCAGGCGCGGATGTGGAAGGAAGAGGAAAGGGACACCTGTGAAAGTCTTTGTTACACACACGGAGGAGAGCGTGCCTGAACACAGAGTTAGCTCAGGTGTGTGTGTTTGTCTTTTATTTGTGTGTTGTGTGTGTTGTATTTGCATGCAATACTCTTTAGCCAACTGAGAGTGTGTGCTATGGGGGTTGAGCATGTACAAGTCAGTGTGACCTATTTCTGTGCCTCTCGTTTGTGTGTGTGTGTGTGTGTGTCTGCATACTTGCTGGTAAGCCCTCTAACCCTGACTCCTGTGTTTTTAGGTGAGCATAAAGACACATCAGAGCACAAACGGCCGACGATGGAACCAGCTCAACGCAAGAAGTGAGTTAGTGCAGTTTCATGTTGCTTGAGCACAAGTAGCAGTTTTAGTCGTCTGTGTGTAATGGTTCATTTTTGCTATGACACAGTGTTGAAGAACAAACAAAGTAAAACACAAATACATTGCTATAAAAATGGTTATAATGTATTGGTTCTTTGCTCTTTTCATATGAAGTTAAAATGACATAATCAGTGGATACCCAGATAAAGAAATATTTGATAATTGATGAGTAAGAGTTTTATTTATTTGCTGATGTTATTTTAAAAAAACAGAGTAGTAGATATTTACCAGAGATGGTCTGGACAAGCTGCCTACTGAATCCTATACCATCTCTACCTCCCAAGTATTTCACCAGAACTGGCTTGTGAAAGAGACACTACAGGATCCAGAAGCAGTTCCTGTCCAGTCTCCACACCAGCTCCACCTTCCTCTCCAGCCCCCACCTTAACACCAGTCCAAGCTACGGCAACATTCACCCAGGCCCCGTCTCTGACTCCGGCCTCCACTGCTCCAGCTGCCCCAGTGGCCTCTGCCCCAGCACCAACAGCCAGCTCCTTCCCTCCTTCCCCAAACTGTCGTATCAGAGAGGTCCACTGTGGCAGCCAGGTGCGCTTGGTCGTAATCGCCATCCGAGACATCACCAAGGGGGAGGAGATTACAGTGGACTACAGTCTGACAGAGTGGGGAGAGAACCTGGTCAGTTCCTTTGAAAATAGATAAAATAAAAGTAAAATGATTTTGTCGAACCAAAGAAATTACATCATTTTTTAAGTTGTGTTTTACTTTTACAGTTGCAATTAACAGATATTAGATGGATGTATTCTCTCTCTCCTTTTTCTTTCTCTCAGTCCCCACTTTTTTTGTATTCACATTGTATACACACACACTGCTATGCAAGGCACGGGGTTACCATGGAGATGGCTGAGTTCCAATTCCTATAGTGCTTTAGCAACAGTAACCCTGGTTATTCCCTGACATCTGTGTCTTTAATTGATGTCATCAGATGAAATCAATTCACTTGATAAAATGTAGACACAATGTGACATTCATGTAGTTTATTAACTCTTTTTTGAAAATCATACTGTGAACAATACTGAAAATCACACTTGGATACAGTCAAAAACCTTTATGATTGGAGATTCTTTCTTTTCCCAATATTTTGGATTTTAAATTTCATTGTGGCTGAGCTATTCACAACTTTTTAGAAAACACATCTGGCTCTATTTTTATAATGCTTGTTAGTGGGAGGTTTGAAGTCCTTCGACCATCAGTGGAAGAAGTGTCCTGCTGTTCTCTGAGTGATGGCTCGGGCTGATTGTCACATGTGTGTCTCATGTTTAAATGTGCCTGCTCTCTTACCCACAGGGTTTTCGTCGTACTGTGTCCCCTGCGCAACAAGAGTGTTACTCAGACGCTGAGAATAATAACAATGTTAAAAAGGTAAGAGTAATAAAATTTAGCAATGTTTGAAATACTGTTTTTATTACCATTTCAATCTATGACACATTATAACAGTATAACAACTAGATGTAAACAGTATGTGTAATCATTTTTTTTTTTTTTGAACTTGTGGAATGCACCCATGTAGTGTAACTACACTGTGTTTATGCTTTGCTTCCCTGCAAATATGTTCCTTTTTCAGACATTTATTGTGTTTAAGAAAAGATGAAACAATAATAGTAATGACTACTTGAATTATATGAATTATATGAAAATAAAGAGTTTGTTTTCTTAAAATTGTGCTGATCTACCCCACAGGAGGATGAGCCCCTCCCTCTGACAGCCCAGCAGCCGAGGCCTCGGCAGCATCAACAGCAAGACCGTGTGACTCCCTCTTGGTCCCTGTCTCCCTCCTCTTCCCCCATCTCCCACTCTGATGCCAGTGACTCGGATGTTGGTAATGACAATTCTAGCCCACGAGGCCGTGCTCTACGTCGGCGTAAAAAACGACGTAGTGCCCCATCGAGGAAAAAAACTCCACATCGGACCCCACCGGGGCGACAAACTGCAGTCTCCCTGAACAATGGGCCACATCATAGTCGTCCACTCTCAAAGAATGTCCCGCCTCAAGCACAGTCTTCCCCACCCTGCTCATCTTCCTCATCTCCTACTAAGTCTGTGTTCAAAGCTCCAGCTTCCTTGGCCTCCAACAGCTCCAACAGTGTCAACACGAGTGTACTCAGAGGAGGAGTTTCGGTGGAGTCTGTGCGCCAAACATGCGAGTACTGTGGGCGCCACTTCCGCTCACTGGGTCGTCATCTGGACAAGCACCACGCCCATCAGCCTGATGTGTGCTCCGCCCTCGTTGAACGTTATACGCAGATGCCTCGGCTGCATCCACAGAACACGAACTCTATCACAACCCATCTTCACTCTCAGCAACCCAGGTCACCACAGCCTGCAGGACAGAGCCGGTGCTCAGATCTTTCACAGAGTGGCGTTCAGGACCTCTCCACGTCACCCCCAACACTTACAGCAGCTAACCAGTCCCCTACTTCCTGTGGAAGGAACTCCACCCCACCCTTACTGACTCCTCCTCGAGGACAGAACGCAGTGCCTGTGTCGGTTTTAAAGAGGAGCCCACCCCCTGTGACTGTGACTCAGCCCAGGAAAGGAACAACAAAAACACTCAAGAAAGACAGACAGGAGGTGGGGGAAGAGGATGAAGATGAAGACGTGGAGGTTGTGGAGGTAAAGAGGGCCAAAGATGAAGAGGATGTGGTGGTGGGTGGTCCTCAGTCCTACAGAAACAACTCTGCCAAAGAGACAGAGCCAACAGAGGAGGAGTTTGAGGAAGAGGAGGAGATGGATGAAGAAGAAGAGAAGGGTGGTTTGATGGAGATAGAAGATGAGAGTGGAGCAGAGGATAAGGAAAAGGACCTGTTGAGGTCAGTTTTGTGTGCGGCTATATTGATATTGATCAGAAAGTAAATGCTAATTGTAAAAAGTATTTGAAATATTAACTGTATTTCACAAACATAAGCATCTATAATTTCAGATTGTGAAGATTGTGTCGGCTTGTCTGGTCCCTTTGATAATTTATATATCAGTCTGGTATATCATAAACTTTCCAGACTGTAAACTTTGACAATTAAGTCTGGCTCTAAAAAAATAAAAATAAATGTTGTCCTTGTATTTTATTGTATTATTACTGCTACAATAAAATTATATTAAACTCTTCTCTCCTTTTCCAGTGGTTCTGGGCGTCACCAAATGCTACCCTTGCTTTCTTCGTTATCTTCTTTGGTACTTTACCTTCGTCGCCTGCAACATTCAGCCTTCCTATCCCTATCTCGCCAACTGCAATCATCTGAGGCTTGGCGCCTTCTCTGCAATTCCAGCCTGGCTCTGCTAATCCTGTACAACCGACGACGGGAGTGTGAGGTTTCCAAGCTGACTATAGCAGAATACCGTGCTCGTGTGACTCCCCAGTGCCCTGTTCCAGTCCCACCTGGTGCTCCTCCTGCTCTTACACCTCTGGAGGCCTCTCTGTCTCCATTTGAACGCCTCGTACTTCCCCATCTCCCGAGAGTTGGCGTCCAGGGTAAACGTGGCCGGGTCCAGCCCCTAATTCTGCCCCCCCACTGTGAACCATGCCTGGAGCTCCTGCTGCAGACACGTCAGGATGTAGGAGTTGACCCTGTAAACCCTTACATCTTTGCCAGGCCCTATCACTCCCCTGCTACACCACTGCGAGGCACTGACCTCCTCCGGAGCCTGGCCCGTTCCAGTGGAACGCGCAATCCACGTGCCCTGACCCAGACCCGGGTTCGCCGTCAGGTAGCTATCCTCACCCAGCTGCTGCTTTTGGGAGAAGGAGAGGAGCTAGGGCAGCCAGAAGGCAATGCTGTGGAGAGGTTGGAACACTTTCTTGAAAGGGAGTATCACGTGACACAGAACTGTGCTGGGATTGGCCAAGACCCGGGACTAATGGGCCGAGTGGGCCGAGTTGTGCTTTGTGGAGAGAGAGATGGAGTACTTTTCAGAGGGATGAGCCTGAATCACATATGTCTGGAACTTGATGGTAAGATAGAGGGATGGAGGGATGAATAGATGGGTAGATGGTTCTGCAGTCAAAGTGTGTGTATTTGTGAGGAGTATAATTTTTATCTCTGTTAATCCTGTATACAAACAGCTTTTGCTGCACTTACTCTTCTTTTTATATTTGTCAGGGAATAGAGTTCTTTTGGAAAGATCAGTGAGGGACTAATGAAATTGATCTCCTTCCACCTTCTCTTTTGTCTCCTATATGCTTATCTGCAGTTATGTCTGGAAACTCTGCTGACTCGTATTCAGAAGGGGAGTCTGAAGGAGAGCCGGTTAAGGAGAAGCCAGAAGTACCATCTTGGATTCCTGCTCCAGCTCCTGCTCCCAACTCCACTCCTACCCTTTTGTATGTCAGGAGGGGTAAGAACAACGGGCGAGTGGGCAGACCGAAGAAGCTCAAAAACATCCATTCACCTCCTCCTCCACCACCTCCACCCCCACCTGTAGTGAACCGGAAAAGAGGCTCAGGTCAGTTCTCGTCAGGCGAAACGCTGATTCATTTTTTTAAGACACAAAACCAGCAAAAGACAGGGTGTAACTGTAGTCAGTGGCTCTGATACTTTTATTAGTCACAAAAGGTGTTAGTGTCGATGCTTTAGCAATCTTCCTTAAAGGTAAAGGGTGAAGGGTACAGAAAACAAACCTAGTAATAAAATTAAACACCAATAATTTATTTCTTGGCAACAACAAAACATTTTATTTGTGTGGCCCGCATTCAAATAACAGTTTTCTTGTTAGACTTTACATTTACATCAGTCTTACGAGGGTTGTCTTGTATAATAAATTGTCTATGGTACATTATAATTACTGTATTATTAAGTACTTTCACCTCTACATGAGTGTTTACATCATAAAACTAATTATGATTGAAAATTTAAAATACTAAAAAATATCCTCTTTAAAAAATGTGGAACAAAATGTTGAAATTTTGCATCTATTTGCTGAATCTAATGCTGATGCTTTTTTAAAATTAATATTTCAGCAAATCACCAACATACAAGTGAAAGACTCTACTTTACTTTTTCCCTGCTATAATTGTATTTCCAGTTATTTAATATGCCTCTGACACTCATGGATGATTCAGTTGTAAACTTGAAAAGGCAATTCTGTTTAGCTTCTTTTCTAGAGCTATTTATTGTATCAGCTGATCTTGGTTGACTGATAAAGAATGAACTAAAATGAACCTCGGCTTCAGAGCCAATGTAGACGAGAGTTGAACTGCTCCGAAATAAACAGATCATTGTATGTTATTACTTTGGAGGTATAGTTTACGTTAATATTACAAATTAAAAGTACGAGAAAACAAGTCTTTTTTTACCAAAATTCTAAAACTTTATTTCTTAATATTATCTCCCTTTTTAGTAAACCGTCATATAATGAGGTCTAGCTTTAGAATAAAGCACTGGTCCATCCCAGGGTCGCACAATGCACATAATGAACCACACTCACGGTTAGAATTATGGTCACTTTGGACAGGTGCATCTTTGGACTGTGGGAGAAAACCAGAAACCACTAACCACCCAGAATATATTTTGGCAGGGCATGCTGATTAGAGACAGCAACACAGGCAGAGTCAGATTTAGACGTTTCTATACCTTTGTCGAAATCATAGCCTTTGCAATTGTTACTTTGAGGGGTTACGTCATCATCTCCTCCAGCAGATGGCGCCCTAGGTGCCTTTTGCTTCAACCTCTTTAGCCAAGTCAATAAAAATGATCATGTTTTTGCATTTCTGAAAGTATTTTAATGGACATCTTTTTCTAAAAAAACATAAAGTAGCTGCAAAAGAAAAAACCTTATGATTGGCTGCCCAGCTTCAGTTGTTAAGAATAAAACCAGACACAGAAACAGGCCAGTGGTTTGCAATAAAGATGAAAGACGAAGATGAACATACGTTACTGCCACTTGTAGGAGATAAGTGTAACGACCTCACACATGGTTGCATAAAATCGATGGTAGGTGTCAGTTTGCTGTGAGTACCGGTGTAAATCGTCGCCCTGATTGAAACAGTGTATCTGTGCCTTGTGTTTCCTGCTGTCGGCGAACCCCCGGAGCAGTGTGTGGAGAATTTGGCAAATTTTCAATCTCGCATCCTGAACTAATATTCCTTTACCATGTTGTAGGAAAGCGAGGTGTTCTGAAGCGTCCCTGGTCGGAGGCAGAGCGTGCAGCAGTTGAGGAACACCTGACTCAAAACATCACCGAGCTGCGTGTTCCAGCCAAGGCTGACTGTGAGCGCTGCCTGCAGCAGTGCCCCCTGCTGGTCAGCAACCAGCGTGACTGGCGTGCCATCAAATTCTATTGCCACAACCGCATTCAGCTGTTGAAGAAGAACCAGCAGCGGTACAGCGAACCTCAGCCTCTCACCGTCTGCTGAGAGCAAGAGTGTTTAATGGAGAAAGACACGGATTCAAGGTAGAAATGGTTTAGTCAGGTAGGTACACAAGGAAAGGCACTAATTTTCAGAGGGTGGTCTTAAATTTCACCCCAGTCTTATGGTAGCATCATTGGTTGGGTTTGCCTGACACACACTGAATGATTTATTTGAAGGCCTAAAATGTGGAACATTTTATTGACTGAATGGCTGCTCCTCTAGAAGGTCTTAAAAATGACACTAAAGTCTTCATGGTGCTCCTGTGTTGATTGTTACATTAAAAGTCCTGACCTTGAATGGGTGCACTTTTAAACACACCCAGTAGGAACCGGAGTGGCCATGACACTGAACGCAGCTCGTCGCTTGTTTTGTAAATGAACGTTTTTTTCCTTCCTTCTCTAAGAATGGATACACTAAAGTGAAATGTAAACGAGGGAGGACTCTGAGCCCAAGAGTGTTGTTTAAGTAGCATTGGTGTTTATGCACTCGGAGATGTTCGTAGGACAAATGGCCTGTGCCAGGGCCACACTTTTCTTAATTAAAGGCTTTATTGTTAGAGTAGGCCTACCTGATGCTAATTAGAAAAATAATTTTGTCTGTATGCAGACCAATAGTTCTTCTTTTCTTAGAGCTAACTGTGCAATGCTGACTATGGTTTCATCACATGCGGACCTTGACTAACCTGTGAGGTAGTACAAGATGAACCAGTAATGTTTTTTTTTTTTCAATTTAATTGCTTTTTTTAAAAAAAAACTGGGAACACAAGCCCCGTGTTCATTTTTAAGTTGTAGTTTTATCTCAGAGAAAATGTTACGGCCTCAGAATGTTGTGAAGTTGCTGTTGAAAACCTAAGATGTTTAGTTCAACCACAGAGTTGTTTTTAATTTTTTCCTCATAAGTAAGTAAGTCAACATTTAGGACATTGTCAGTAACCGTTTTCCCCAGAGAGGTTTTTTGTGTGTCCTACTCTTTGTTGTATTTGTTTGCCGGTCGCACAGTTGTCACCTGCAGAAGTAGAAAAAAGGTGCATTAGGCTTAGAATGAGCTGTTCACTATCTTATATTCAGGATGGATATTTTAGTAGTGTAAACTAGTGTTACATTTCTTTTTAAATTGGGCATTTTTTAGAGAAGTGATTGTCCCATGTTGCCACATTTGTCCCATCATCTGTGTTGAATGTTCCAAAGGCTAGCACTTGTCCATCCTTTCCTAGTCACACTACATACTTCGATGCTTCATTAGAATATTCTGTCAATTAGATCATACTTGAAGTTTTTTAAACCCTTTTACTGAGTGTTTTACTTTATGTCCAGCCCTAGCCTGCCAGTTACATTGTACATAGCAAATACATTATTATACTAACTGGTTCTTTGCGCTGGATGATATGTTCTTTATCTTCCATTTCTAAGTTGTCAATGTCTGTACATAGGCCTTATGTAAATATTTCTCAGAGAACAAAGGAAAAAACACAGTGTATGACATTTATTGTTTATTGTGTTGTTTTTTCTTTTTTATAAGTAAAATAAAGTATTCAAAGTACTATGTTTATGCTCTCTATTTCTTAAGAAAGCAGGTGAAGATTTGTGTCCTGCATGCAGTTTCACACCAAAAACCACGAGAGGGCAGCATTGAATAATACAACAAATAGACGTGGAAAAACAAATAAAGGTATAGAGATGTTCTCTTTCAACTAGAAGTTGGTGGTTTTATTTTTTGCATGATAATAAAGCAGTAAGGCATGTTTTTGGTGATATTTTGAAATATTCAGATAAAATATTTTTTGCAGTTTTTAGCACAAATTATTCACTTGGCAGCATGTTTTGGGGCATAAACTTGTAATTAAAGGCATTTCTGGGACTTTTTATTTTTTGCACTTTTTCACGGTGGTAAGGCATGTTTTGGGTGATTCCGCTTCCTTAACCTGAAAGCCATCACTGCCATCATTGGCCAAGTATTTTAAGGCAAATGAGTGT